GAACTTCTCTGTTTTTCTCACTTGTCAAGTGGTGATGATGCTGTCTACCTTTTCTGTTGTGAATGCAGTGTACATGAGATGATTCAGTGAAGTGCCTGGTTAGGTGCTTGGGCTGTAATAGATCGTATTTGGAAGTTATTATTATCCTTGAATGTGTCACGGTATTTTTATTCAAATATCTCTTTTTAAATAAAAGTGAGTGGCAGTGTGTTGTATAATGGATAAGAGTGTGTGTCGGGCCAAACTAGACCCTCTGGGTTCAAATACTGACTCTTCTTCTTAGCTGTGTGATCATGGACAAGGAGTACATCTGCCTGGGCTTCTGTTTCCTCATCTGAACGAGGATGATCACAGTACCTCCTTTGTTAGGGTCATTTGGAGGACATAGTTTATGTTTATAACACTGTGGATAGTGTCTGGCATTTAGTAAGTACACAGTCATTAGCTGTTATTTTGAACTTTTCTCTCTAAATTTTTATACATAGGTATATTAAGATAAGGAGTAACTTTTGTTTCTATGCAGAAATGTTTTTAAAAAAAGAGTTTGGAACATTTGGATGAGTGAAGTTAGTAGCCAATTAACAGACCGTGGGAATAGGAAGCATATTTCTAAAAATCCTGAGGTTTGACCATTATTGGTGGACTATCAAGAATATTGCATAAACATTCAAGAAAGCCTTGTGTTTTTTCCTGGGCTGCAAATACTGGCTTTAAGGGAAGTAAATATTGCTTCACTAGTTTCTGAAGTTGGAGAAGGTAAGCATTTAAGTGATAAGCCCTATTCAAAGAGTAGAAAAGCTGCTCTAGCAAAGTCTCCCTCCAGCCCAGACCTCTCCGTTCTTCTCAGACTCAACTGCTGTTAACACTTGGTGTCTTCCTTCTGCATATGGCACCCTTACTTCGTCTTGTTACAGGAGAGGGAGTGGGCTCTTTCTGCATTCCACTCTTCTCCCTTAGTAGACTGGGAGTTCATTCTGTGTATATCACATATGTACGATGATCTATTCAAGTAATTTGACGTTTCATTATGCAGCTGTGGCATGATTTATTCAACAACTGTCACCCATTGGTGAGATACGGGGTTGCAGGGTTGGTTGGTTTTTTGTTCTGACTTTTATGAATCATGACACGGAGAACTTGTACATAGGTACTTATCTGTAAGGTAAGCCTCCACCTATGGCACGACAGAGGCAAGGGGAAAATGCTCATTGCCTTCCATAGAGGCTAACAATGTAGCTTCATAGTTTCAAAAAGGATGTGTCTGCCAGGAGGGTAAGCTTGAATAATTCCTGTGGTGCTCTGCCCCCCACTGAACTGGTGAGATCATGGTTCTTAGGAGGCTAAGTGCACTTGCTTTGGCTTCCATTTCTGTCCCTTCCCTCCCCCACCCTTAGCTGTCTTCAAGACAGCCCTGCCTGGGAAGTGTTCCCAGTGGCCTGGGTTAGACGGTAAGATCGTGGGAATCCAAGATTTCCCATGCCTTCTCTCAGTTGTGTACTTTTTTTTGTTGTTGTCATTTTTATGTTTTTCTGTTCTTTTGTTTTTTTTAATCGTTTTTATTAGGGGCTCATACAACTCTTATCACAATCCATACATACATCAATTGTGTAAAGCACATTTGTACATTCATTGCCCTCATTTTTCCCCTCCCTTCCCGCTGCCCCCTCCCTCATGAACCCATGATAATTTATAAATTATTATTTTGTCTTATCTTGTCCTGTCCGACGTCTCCCTTCACCCACTTATCTGTTGTCTGCCCCCCGGGGAGGAGGTCACATGTAGATTCTTAAGAGCAGGATCACTTCTTTCTGGTAACAAGGGACTTTTAACCACAGTCAGTCATTGAGAGATCTTCGCCAGGCAGAGGAGGGAGGGAAAGTTATCAGTTGGGGTCAAATGGAAGTGATGGTAATAGTAGTGGGTCCCACAGCAATGAATACCTTCTCGTTGATTTCCTGAGAAGTAGATCAGGAGGGAAGGAGCCCTGGAGGGGCTCAGCCGCAAACGAATAGCTTGGTGCTTTGAACTCACCAGTGGCTTTGTGGGAGAAAAGGCCTGGTGATTTCCCCATCAAAATGTATAGCCTCAAAAAGCCTAAGGAGTAGCCCTGTTCTGTCCGGTGGATGACTGTGAATCAGGCGCCCCATGGCACAACCCCCACCACCACAGCAGGTAGGGGGCGAGAGTGACTTGTCCATTGTCTAGAGACTTCTTTGCTCTAGGTGAGATGGTTTTTAGCTGTAAGTGACAAAAGTAATGCTTAACTGAAAAAGTTACAAAGATTGGCCTCTCAGTGTCAATGAAATACTGTTATAACGAGTGTTTCTAGGCATCATCAGGCCTAGCAGTTCCACCAAGAAGCTAATGAAATGTTGGCCCGGCCCGTGAGCAGCAATGTAGACTGAGTATATCTAATCCCGTGAATATAGATAGTGGAGGAGGAGCCCTGGTAGCCCAGTGGTTAAACACTTGGCCACTAATGGAAAAGTCAGTGGCATGAACCCTGCAGCCACCCTGTGGGAGAAAGACGTGGCAGTCCCCGTCCGTGAAGATTTCCAGTCTGCTTTGCCCTGCATGATCACTGTGGGTTGGAAGTGACTTGCTAGCACAGAACCTGAGCCCTGAGAACTGTTCATGTTGGAGAGGATTGGGGACGAGCTCTGGAGGTGACGGTGTCGCCTCCTGAGGGACATTTTCACAGTATGTCTCAGACATTTATGGAAATTGTGCTATAAGGGTTTTCTTTGCAGGAGTGCCTTTAAAATGGAAATATTGGGAAAAGCCTAAAAATGGGCAATAAGAAAATTAAGAAGCAACCATTAGTCGATGACTGTGGTATGTTTACTGGCATGGAAAAATACTTAACACGTGAAGCAGATTTAAAATCTTGTCAACGATCTATTTTGTAAGATAAAATAATAGTTTGTATATATGAGAGAGATTGGCTGGAATTGCATGGTGTTATGGATTATTTTTGTTTGTTTTATAAAAGCTTATAACTTGATTATTTTTTAATCGCCATGCACTTTTGAATGTTTTTTAAAGTATTTTTTAAAGTACTATTTTTAATAAATGCATATGCATTTATTACTTGTATCTATTTCCCTTCCCAGATACAGAATGCTTTAAAGTGACTGCCAGTCCCTGAATGAAGACAAATGGCTCACAGGAGTTGTTTGGCAAATAATTTGTCAGTGAACCACTGGCCTTTGTGGCTGTTATTTTTCAAACTACTTCCCACTATTTTATTCACCACATAAGGCTGGAAGGACTTGTAATCCAAACCGGTTTCTCTAAGGCAGGGAGCAAACCCTTGCTCAAAGGCGTAGGACTTGCCTGTATCTTTGATGTTTTACTGTTCTGTTTGTTGTACCATGTTGTGTGCATAAGTCATTCTCTTAATGCTTAGGAGTGGTGCTTTTATGGAAACATTCATATGGAAAGAGCACATACTTGTTAGAAAATGTATTGAACACCTTATACTTAAGGTAAGGTCACAAGCACCTGGCTGGCTGAGATGTCCTGGAGTTAAAGACCAATCTTTAACTGTAAGACCTTTAGAGTCTACTAAGAGAGAAACCGTTGTTCGTCGAGCAACTTGGATTTGAACTCTGCGGGTCTGCTTAGACTTGGATTTTAAAAAAGAAAACAGGCAAAAAGCCCCACCATGTTCATCTCCCTAGTGCATTGCAGATCGCAGTCAGCCGTCCTCTCCCATGGTTCTCGTGCTTTTCCCATCGTGCTTGTGCAGCACGATGCACCTTGGAGCCTGGGGCCCACGCAGAGAACCCCAGGGATGCTGCAAGTCGCCCGGAAACAAAAACCATGGCAAGGCGAGAACAAGTTGAAGAGCTTGGCTTGTCCCGTAGGCTGTGTTCTACAGCTGTGGGTTTTTTGTCATTTCAAGTTAAATGAATCCAGCGGAAGGACCACTGTTTTTGTTTGTTTGTTTTTAAGGGAATCTGTGAAGTGGTTGCTGCTGCCACACCAGCAGGTGCAAAAACGGCATTTTTGGCAAAATATCTTTCTCATATTGAAAATAAAGCTTTTCTGTAGGTACAGCATATACGACATATACCAAGTGTGTTTCAATAGGCTGTTGGTGTTATTGGTAAGGTTTCTGATCAACAGTAAAACAAACAAACGAACCAAACTCACTGCCGCCATGTGGCTGTTGAAGCATAGTGACCCCATTAGATAGTGTAGAACTGCCCCTGTGAGTTTTCTGAGACATAGAAAACCTCATCTTTCTCCCTTGATGCAGCTGCTGGTTTTGAATTGAAGACCTTGCAGTTAGCAGCCCATATGACTTTGGAGTCAAAAGGTTTATGCATCCTTTTTGGCTGTGCAGAACCATTAGAGCCTGACCCTCCTCCGTGACCTCATTGTTCAAGGGTTAATTGCGTTTGCATACTAACTAATACATGAAAAGGGCTGGCTAGGGTTACCCTGGAGATAGAAACCAAGCACTGACTTCAGAGAGGCAACAATTCTGTCCGATGGGTAGAAATTGGGTAAGTGCTTAGAGACATTTAAATTGAACTTTGAACAGTTAATAAGATTTTGGCTGGCGAGTATCAAAGTTAATGGTGTGGGGACAAAAAACTAATAGTGTTTTTCAGGAATTAGGTATTTGAGCAAAGCCTTTTAATTGGGTGGGAGAGAGGCTTGCAATAAGGAAGCAGTTGATTGGACTGAAGAAATGAGGACTGTAAAATACAATCTAGCACAGTGCCTTGCCAGGTACAAGCACTGCTTAGACTTTCCACTTTCCTCGTTCCTCGTTCCAGACACACAGCTTTCTCTAGCTCCAGAGCTATCTGTCAGATGGGCTCCCTCCCTGAAAAGTTAACTTTTAGATTGATTTGACGGAGTAGGCATCTATTCGAGGCAATCCTCAAACTTACAAATGTGGTAGGAACACTAAAGTAACTGCTGAGGAGGCGTGCAGGGTCTCCAATTAATGTGTAACCAGGTGTCCAAACCATTTCTTTCCTCAGAAGGTGACCTGTTCAGAAAATCCTGGGGAAAACCTGCGGCTCCGTGTCAAGCAGGGGACAATGTCTCAAGTCACCACCGCTTATTCCTTTGACGCACCCACAGACTACATCAATTTCACCTCATTGAATGACGAGGAGGATAACGAAAATGTCGATTCCTGGTTTGGTAAGTGTGCTTCCTCTGGCTGTTGTAAGAGTAGTGGCCGGGAAGGGCTGGGGCTGAGTATATTTCAAAAATAGAAACGGCTTCAAGAAAACAACTGAAATAGCCGCTCCTGTCTGGATCTAGGTACGTCGTCATCTGTGAGATGATGAAATCATTGCAATGCATAGTATTTGGGGAATGAGCTAGCCAGACAAGCCAATGTCATTGACTTTCGAAGCCCTCCTTGTGCTTCGGGTGAACATTCGCAGAGCAAATTCGTTTCTCTCTTGACAATGGAGAGACACGTTTGGTTTTGTCCCACTGGGGGCAGTCCCCTTCGTGTGGCAACGCTCCTCCCACACCCTGTGCCTCTTCCCTGCTCCTTCCTGTCTTCTGAAGAGCCCCTTCCACCAAATCAGTGCTATTTTGCAGTTAATTCAAAATAACAAATAAGTTTGACTTTGGGACATATGGCCGAATCCAGATGAAACCTTGTTAACTGACTGCAGGACTCAGACATATCTGTAGTGATAGGCCCCCCCAGCCCCCCCCTGAAGCGCACTGTATCACAAAAGTATCACAAGCAAGGGGTTGGCATCAACAGAACCCACAGATCTGACGCAGATGTCCCAGTTTTACTTGTACTCAGTTTTGTGTATTAAATTCTATACAACTTTATCATCCGTGTAGCTTTGTGTATCCACCACCATCAAGGTGCGGAAAGTTCTAGCATCACAGAGATCCTTCGTGTTGCCTGACACCTACCTCCTCCTTGCCACCACCATTCAATTTACTTTTTTTCCCCCTGTAGTGTTTTTTCTGGTTTGAGTGAAAATGTACAGAACAATTAGTTTTCCATTCGCATTCAACAGCTCATCCATGTTTCCTGACATTAGCTGCAATCTCCCCACCGCCGCAGGGAAAGAGCACTCTTTCCACTTCCTCCTCCGGTGCTCCCCGTTTTCATTTGTGCATCTCTCCTGCAGAATTCCGAACTTGGATTTGGGGCCAGTGCTGCCCTCCTGCTCTGGGGCACACATTTCTCTTGGCAGTTGTTCACTTTTGAGGCCTGTCGTCGTTTGGCTGAAAGGTGATCTGAAATGGGTTCATTTTAGAATGGAGGCATTTTGGTCCTCAGAGCCCAGTCTTCAAATGGATAGGATTGCCTGATAATGGATCGTTGCTGGGACTCCAACCCAGCAACCAGGCCAACAAACAAGGACTCCGCTAGGGCTGCTGTGCTTTGCAGTGCTCCGTGAGCCTGGCGGTAATGTCCGGCTCGGGGTTGCTAGGGTCTCTTCATTGTATTCTTTCAAAGTGAAATATTAATACAATAACACTGTTAAATACAGTTTGGGAGAGAAAACAAACACGTTTTCTCCCGCCAAATCCCCTTAGTAGTACTCTATTACTTTTGGACCATCTTCCACAGAGTCTTGGTGGCACAGAGGTTAAAGTGCCTTGCTGCAAACCATAAGATCAGTGGTTTGAACCCACCCAGCCATAGCCCTGCCACTGGAGAAAGCTGTCTGCTTCCATAAAGACTTCTGGCCTTGGAAACCCTCTGGGACAGTTCTCCTCTCATCCAGCCTATGAGTCTGAATCCAACCAATCGCACTTTGTTAAACAGTCGCAATGAGTACACAGAGTAGCTACTGCTGGGCTTTCCTGCATTCCTGACCCTTCAGATCTGTCACTGGTTTGGACTGACTTTGGGATACAGAAGAACCTTAGATAAAATTCTTAAGAGACCCAGAAGAACTAGATGGAGTCTGGCTACTACTATTGACCCTTCTGACCAGAGATAAAATAGAAATCACAGTTAGAGTAGGAGGAAAACAACGAGGACCAACTTCATGAAGAAGACCAGACTTAGTAGGAGGAAAACAACGAGGACCAACTTCATGAAGAAGACCAGACTTACTGGAGAGACACTGCTGCCAGAGGTTTCCTGTTAGCCAAATATGTGCTTAAACCATCAATATCCAAGACCAAGTGATAGCCTTTTACACCAAAGACAAGGAGGAGCAGGGAAACCGGGAGGAGGGAGGCGGAGCCAAGGGGCTAGAAACAGAGCCCTGCTAAATTATGGGGATTATAACCAGTGCCACAGACAAATTGAGAGGGACTTGTTGAAGGGGAATCCCAGTTGCTGTCACTTAAACACAATAAAATACTGGAAAAGAAAAAAAGATTCCTAGCTCTGTTCCACCCGTACATATATGACACTCCCTTCCACCACCCCACTTGACCAAGCCTCCCTCTCAGATGCCCCTTGAAAGCCCTGCTGATGCTGGTGGCTACAGTTTGTTTAGGAGGAACATGATGTGTTTAAAAGAGGCCAGTGGAAGCTTGTGGGGCCTTCAAATGTGTATCAAGTACAGATAAGGAGCTAGTCTTTTTCTGTACCACATTGTTTGGTGTTGCCAGTTGCCAGTGCTGTAGCGATAGTCTTGACAGGGTCTGTTTCTGATGCCCAACAGCAGGTGCCCTTTCCCTTTCGCTGTCTGGACCTTGAGTTCCCTGTGCTCCAGTCAAGTGCGTTGAAAGTGTACTGGCGGGGGCTCTCGGCCTCATGTGCAGGCCCCGGCTCTGATTGATTTGCTGCCTTGCTGCTTGTTTGGACAGTGACGGTCTTACCTTTTCACAGAGGAGAAGGCCAATTTGGAGAACCAGTTCCTTGGGAAGAATGGAGCAGGACTCTTCCAGGGTAGGACTCCTCTGAGGAAGGCTATTCGACAGCAAGCCATCGTCACCCCTCTCAGACCAGGTGAGAAAGAGCATCTGAGAACCAAGCTCTGGGGCAGAATGGTGGACCCCAGGGTGTTAGGAGCTGGAAGGACTTGGAGAAATTGCCCCTTGGCTCGGCAGTAAATTGGGCTGATTCGTTTTATGATAAATGTGAAACTAATAATGTGCTACTACACCTTTTAAAGGCAAACAAAAAACCTTTTGGAATTTAAGTTTGCATAGAACCTTATTGCCAGATACTTAACTGTTGTGCAAGAATTATTTGTTACTAAGTCTGCAGAATACTGTCTGAGATGTAACTTACATATCTTATAGCCCACACACTAAATTATGCATGCCCTTGGCTGTTAGTATATTCAGGGAGTTGTGGAGTTGTCGCCACTGTCTATTTTAGAACATTTGAAAATTATTCTTACCGGTCGATCAGAAATGGGCCTCAATTACAGATGAACCAGAGGGCTCATATCAGCAAAATATCTGTATTTTTCGTGGGCTTGCCTAATTTGTGCATGGTAAGCTGCTAGACTGACTTCCAAATGATGAAGGAGTCCAGGTTGTGCCTCTTGAATTTGGAATCTGCATAAGGACCTGGAACAGGCTTTCTTGCCTGGGGGTTAGATCTGGGGGGTGTTTTAGCTGACAGGCTTGGAACCTCAGCCTGTGCCTTAGTACTGGATCTTTAGGTGAATGTCATGACTTTTTTAGACGAGCAAGGTCTCTCTTGCTGTGATGGTCTTTGTGGCCTTGAATCAAACTGGGCTGTCCCCATCCGGTAACTTGCAGCCTCAAACCGCAGGTAGCTCCAAAGCGTACTTGCTGGGCCCATATCTGGTCGAGGCCATGCGTGTGACTTATAGGTACCTCTCAGAGTCTTTGTGCTCTGTGCTTGTTTTGTTCTCATTGCAAACACCAAACTCGCTGCAATTGAATCGCTTCCTTCCGTCTGCCTGAATGCCCCTACCCTACTCACCCACCATTCAACTCAAGGTGTTTTCCTCCCATAATTGATTCCAGAGCACAGTTCTGAGCGCTATGCAAATGTCCATTTCCCATCCTGTTGCTAGTACATAGGACTACAGATTTTATATATTGCCTTGTATCCCACAACCTTCTAAACACATGCACAGTAGTTCCTGTACATCCCATGAAATTTCTACATAAATGATTGTGTCATCTGCAAATATGCCTTTTATTTCTGCTTCGTACGTATTGCCCTGGGTAGAGGGCAACTGCCTGTATGATGTTGACTAGGCATGGGGAGAGAGACTCGTGATCTTAGGGCAAAAGCACTTGGGCTTTCATTGTAGGGTTTCATAGACGCCCTTATCAGACTGAGGGTGTCCTGTTCCTGGTCACTTGATCAGCAGTGGATGGACATTGAATTTTGTCAAAATACTCTTCCTGCATTTATTGAGACGGTCATAACATTTGATTTTTTGTTTGGGGTTTTTCCTTACTCTGTCTGTGGATATGGTGAATTGCCCAGATTTTTCTTTGTCAGGTCAACCTTGCATTTCTGGGATGCATGCCAATTGGTCATGATGTATTTTTCTTTTGATATCCTGCTAGATTCAGTTTGCTAAATATTTGTTAAAGAACTTTTGCATCTGTGTTAATGAAGGAGATTGGTCTGTGGCCTTCTTGTGGGGTATGTGTGTGTGTGTGTGCGCACGCACCTTTGAACCATTTTTTAGAGGACAGTTCGGTGACATTAAGTACATTCGCAATGTTTTAACAGTTACCACTGTCTGTTTCCAAAACGATGTCATCACTCTACACAGGAGGACAGTACTCTTCAGCAATGACTCCCCATTCTCTCGCCCCTTTTAGCTCCGAGAACTGTGATCACCTTGTGTTGCTATCACTTGCCTATTCCAGAGCGTTCATCACAGCAGCACCAGAGCTGTTTGGTCTGATTATCAGGGTAATGCAGGCCTCAGAGAAGGAGTTGTGAAGCAGTCTTTGCTCTTCGGTTTTCTGCAAGCCTTTTGCAACAGACCGTGTGGAAGAGGACATACTGAGTCTGATCTCTGGCTTCCCTGTTGCCATGAGGCTGGGTTCAGGCAAGCCTCCTAGTCCATCCTTCTTTCCTACTCTCACACGCCATGCTTCGTCTTTGTCGGGTCAGTAATTCATTGCAACGGCCCCACAGAACTCACAGAACAATCATCATAATTACGGAGGTTTATTAGGGAAATTAATAGGTTACCAAAGGTAGGCTCAGCAAGCAGTAAGGATATAGGCATTGTCTCTCTCTGGTTCTCAGCCTCTCAGCCACACAGTCTCTTGGCTTTTGCCTTCATGGTCCAGGAAGTCAGCTCACCTTCACTCTGTCCCACAGTAACATAGTCTTGGGCAAGATCAGGAGAAGGTACCACATAGGCTTGTGCTGCTCCTGTGAGTCTCCAGGTCTCCACCTGGATGCATTTGGTCTCCGCTCTTACCACATCAAAGTTTGGGCATCATCAGGGGACTCAAATGGTTCTTTGAGTTTGGGGAACAAAAAAGTTGTAAGGGGCAAGAGCAGGCTGTAGGGTAGATGAAATAAGGTTTCCCGGTGGAACTTCTAGGACAACCATTGCTCCTCTTGAAGAATGAACAGGTGCATTGTTGTGATGGGGAAAAACAATTCCGCAGCGCAACTTTCAACCTTCCTATAAGCCCCCATGGGTCGCCCTGTGGCCTTTGAGAAAATCTATCAAGATTGTTCCTTTGGAATCCTCAAAAACGTGTCATAACTTTCTGAGGCAACCTCTCTGCGGTGTGTTTAAATGGCCCGGCAGATCCGACGGCCTTGATTGGATGTTTGTGGAGGCACCGTAGCGAGACAAGTGTATCCCAGCCATCTGTTGAGACATGTCTCAACACATTTTGTTTGGAATAGACCCATAGCAGCAGCACTTTCTGACTTACCCTTGTACATCGAGGGGGTTTTTCTTCAATATTCTGAAGGCGTGGTCTTTTTCTTGTCTTCTGTTTGTTTGTGCTGTTGAGAAATCCAGTGTTTGTTTTGATTCTTGAAACGTCTTAGGTAATTTATTTTTCTCTAGAAAAGTTCCTAATTTTCCTTGATTGTGTTCTGAAATGACATGCATTTCAGTTTGGGATGTTTCTTGAGTGGTGCTTGTTTTCTGAAGTGGCACCTTAGGCTGGCAAATTGGCAGCTTAATTTCTGCTCCAGCCCGAATATCTTTAACAGGGATTTCTGCATACGATTTCACTAGGACTAAGGGCATATGTGAATATTTGTGTATCTGCAGCACCTACACACACATACTATGGGACCTCTCAAAGGAGCTTTAGGGTCAGTGGTCAAAGTGCTCAGCTGCTGACTGAGAGGCTGGTTGTCCGACCTACTAGATGCTCCATGGGAGAAAGAGGAGGCAGTGTGCTTCTGGAAAGGTTTGCAACCTTGGAAACCCTATTGGGCAGTTCTGCTCTGCTCTATAGGATCTCTGTAATGCTGGAGTTGGGGTGCTCACCACAAGGTCAGTAGGTCAAAGCCATCAGCTGCTCCCCTGGAGTAAGATAAGGCTTTCTACTCCCTTAAAGAGTTGCAGTATGGGAAACCCACAGGGGCCGCTCTGCCACGTCCTACAGCGTCACTGTGAGTTGAAATCGATTTAACGGCAGAGTGTATTAATTTGAATCAACTTAATGGCGACAGGTTTGCTTTTAGATAAATATTTACAGGTGGAGTGGTTTGTGCTCAACTGCTGGCTTATAGGTTGGCGGTTCAAACCTGCTCAGTAAGAAAGAAAAGACCTGGCAATATGCTGACATTAAGATTATAGCCAAGAAAACCGTATGGAGCCGTTTAACTCAATCACACGGGGTTTCTGTAAGTTTGTATCAACTCAACCCAAAGTAATTAACAATAAATAACAGGCACACATGTATGTATATACGTGTATGTGTGTTTTAAATGTACAATTCTCGATTAAGTCATACATACATGTCTCCCATCTCTACTCATACCTTTGGGGTTTGAGTGCTAACTTGTGTTTGGTCTTCCGCAGTTGACAATACTTATTACAAAGAGGCAGAAAAAGAGAATCACTTGGAACAATCCACTCCATTAAATGCTTGCTCTTCTCTGGAAGTAGGGAGGACCACCTCCCAAAGTACCCGGGCCTGTCCTCAGAGGTAAGACGGGGGTGTGGTAAATAATTGTGAATGAGTGATTACTGGACAGGGCAGCTATTTTATGGCTCCTACTGTAACCGACTTTGTTACTTTATTTAACCTCCATAACAACCTATCAGTTATATGTAACATGCATAATTTAGTGATGAGCGACCACAGGGACTACGTTACTTGTCCACAGTAAGTTGACCAGACTCTTTCCATCCCTTGCGGTCCCTGCCTCTCCCTTCCTTCTCATCGTTACCTCTGGGCTGATGACGCCCTTTTGATCTCATAAGATGACTGTTCTAAGAAGCACGTGTTGCACATTGTTTTCTAGGCTCATCTATTACTCAGGTGAAAGGTAGCCTCTCAGAGTGACTTCAGGTCTCACTTTTTCAACCCCAGACTGTTAGTTTTTCCAGTTAGCAGAAACTGGCAGTTTGTCTAATGAAGGAGCAGTTTAAATCAAGATGCTAGTTGTTTTAGCATCGGCATCAAAGCTGGCAGCCATATTGCCGATCTCAGTCCCATGTTACATGGGTGTTTTAACGTGGCAGTGATCTTGGCTTCCTCCAGTCTCTATTTGTCCAGTATGTTTTTTGTTTTTTTTTATTTTTCTCCAGTTCAAACCAGAACCTTTTCATGTGTTCCTAGTTAGAATGGTCATTAGTGGTAGCCCATTCAGACTTCTTTTTCTATAAACTAAAAAAAAAAAAAAAATCATTTACAATAAACATGATCTGATTCCCGTGAGGATGCCAAAATTACTATTTTGCCTTGGTCGAAGTTAAAGAGTGTAGAATTCTTCTGAAAAGGGATAGAAGGTGGTTGTGTAAAGCCCTAGGTCAGTCCTTAACTTGTGGGTTGTGACCCCTTTGGGGGGGTTGAACGACTCTTTCACAGGGGTCGCCCGGCTCATAACAGTAGCAAAATTACAGTTATGAGGTAGCAACGAAAATAATTTTATGGTTGGGGTGGGGGGCACCACCACGAGAGGAACCTATATTAAAGGGTCGTGGCATTAGGAAGGTTGAAAACCATTGCCCTAGGTGGAGAAGAAGTCAAACCAGCAGCTTCACATTTTGATAGTTTTGTGTAATAAATGTTTCTATGATTCTTGTAGGGATACTGTGTTAGGCCAGGTGGACTAGAAAATCAAATTCTGTGACAGTCATCTATGTGTAAGAAAGAGCTTTCTATCAAGAAGTCATTATATATCAAGAAAAAACATACCAGCACAGTCCAACTCAAGTCCATATGTCCCATATTAGTTCTTAAGTCCGATGCAAGTAAGTCCACAGGTCCTCGTCAGACTTAGGAAGCCACATGCAGTGATGCAGAATGCAGGAACATCACTGGCTGGTGGGTGCAGAGTCCCGTGGATCCAATGGTGGACTCGACAGCAAGAAAGTGAAGACGGTGGGGGAGGGGGTGTTCACAGGCCCCTCCTTAAGAGAAGATCATGCCCACAGGGAGGCACCATCAGGCTGTAACCTGATTGACAGGCTAGACTCCACCCCTACACTTTTATCTATTCAAGTTGACATAAAATTATGGAACTACCACAAATATTTTCTGAATTACCTGGTATACCTGGGCCTGGGATTGCTGGTCATGTGGTGTAGTTCTGTTTCTAGCTTGTTGAAGAAGTGCCACACCAGTTTCCCAGAGTGATTTTAGAATTTTTGTTTGTTTGTTTGAGGTTTTAGAATTTTTTGTAATCCCGCCAGCGGGATAGTGAGTCCCCTGCAGCTTTTTGTTCTTCTCTGTTTCCGATCGATGCCATTTTTGCAGGGATAAGGTGGTACTGCATTCTTCAGTCCACTCTTAACAAATGCCTTTCTGTTTTTTTTACAGGTGACCTCTTTCTTTTAACTCTGTGTTAGTAGACTAGAGAAACAAATTCAGGGAGACTCGTGTGTATAAGAGAGAGCTTTAAGTCAAAGAGCAATTGTATATCAAGAAAACATCCCAGCCCAGTCCAGATTAAGTCCTTAAGTTCGATATTAGCCCATATGTCCTATACTAGCCCATAAATTATTCTTCAGACTCATGCAACACATGCAATGACGCTGAGTATAGGAAGATCACAGGCCAGTGGGTGGAAAGTCTTGTGGATCCAGTGGCGGTATAAGCATCTTAGTGCCAGTGTGGGTCTCCACATGGCTCCTACAGCTCCAGGGCTCTGGCTCTATCAGTGCAGCTCCATGTGGTTTGTCACCAGGAATGTCTCACGGGGAGCGAGTCTGTGCCCCACCTTCAGTGAGCTATTTATCTCTTTAGCACCTCCAAATGAGGTTATCAAACTGCAACCTGATTGACAGGCTAAATTCCACCTCTTCGCTCTTAATAGTCTTAAGTTGACAACATTATGTAACTACCACAACTACTAATAGGAAAGTATTTTTATTTGGAAGATAAGAAATTGGGAGTTTGTATCAAAATCTAAGAGAGTGGGTTGAAGAATAATTGATAGAAGATTGACTATCAGTTAACTTTTTAAGCTGATTGATGAGTATATCGAAGTTCACTATATTATTCTTTGTTTTCAAATATATTTGAAACACTCTGTGCTATTTAGATGTTCTAGTACTTACACTTGAGCTGCTAACCACTAAGCCAGCAAGCAGTTCCGTATCATCCGCAGCTCCGAGGGAGACAGATGAGACGTTCGACTCCCATACAGAGATGCAGTCTCAGAAGCCCACAGGGGCAGTTCCACCCTGCCCTATCGGCTCGTCGTGAGTCAGCGTTGACTCGATGGCAGTGCAATAGCATGAACATTTGTATACACAAAATGTCTATAGTGTCTAAGACTTTACACAGCAAGCATCGAGGGAAATGGAGCACCATCAAATAAACGATCAGGGAAAGAGGTTATTCCTGTGAAACTCAGTAGTCGCTGCCGCCAGTGTTCTCTTCGTTAGCCTAGGTGGTGAGTTCATGAGACTCCTCTCATAGCGACTTATTTTGGTTGTGCACACTTTTTGGTATGTGCCTTAGTTGTAGAAATGGAGCAAGGAAGAGCTGGTAGCTAAAAGGAAGAGACTAAGAGCCTGAGCTTTTATTCCAGTTTGTAGGAGACGTGCCCTCTAGTTCCCAGGCCGAGAGTAACTAGCTTTGTCACAGGAAACGACGTGACTGTTACCTGGTAAGGAAGGGCGATTGCTCTTGCTTGAGGCCCGTGCATGCAACCAGTGTCATGGGGCACCAGCGTTTTATGGGTGAATTTTTAAAAGTCTTAGGAGAAGATGAGATTTTTAGAGGGAAATCCCACCCCCCTACGTTTCCCATAGTCCTCTGCAGTTTGACACACCTGTACATATCTGAGCTGTTTGTGTGTGTCTTGGGTTGATGCGTTTATTACTGACACAGTTGTCAATTCCTCTGCCATAGGAGATCTCCCCGGCTCTCTGCTCAGAAGGATGCGGAGCAGAAGCACCGTGTCAAACTGAATGCCAAGCGGTGTGCCACTTCTGTTGTCACGAATGAAATTCCACCCTCCAAAAAAATGAAAGTGTAAGTAACTACAGCTTCTGTCCGTTGGCATAGGTTGGAGCCTGGTTGGAGCTTGCTCTTGCCTCTATCAGTTCAGTATAGATTTTGCTGCAAGTAGCAGCCTCTACACTGCTGTGTAGAAAACAGCAGTGATTACTGTGCTTCACAGAAGTCTGAGAAGCAGTTCACTGCTGGCTTTGCTTGAGTCACTGAGCGACGTCAGGCTTCGTGTCAGTATGAATCTGCCCCTTCCCATCACTGTTGCTCCAGACCCTGCGGAGCGCATTCCGTAGCTTTTCCCTGTGCTTGGTTACCTCCTGGTCACGAGTTGGCTTCTGTGTCTCTTCAGTATCACCTCCACGTTTTAGGGAAGAGGACGGGCAGGGACCTATATCAAGGGAATGAAATCTTTTCCAGAACTCTTAAGAGATGTATTATACCTTCGCATGCCCAAATTCTCCCTGAGCTCCCCTCGTGTGTGCTGTCGTTTGGGCTGTGGGGGTGGCTCTGACTCGTAGCCAACCACGGCCTGGTGCTCTGCCTTCCTCACAGTTGTTCTTACGTTTGAGCCCATGATGCAGCCCCTGGATCAGTCCGTCTTGTTGAAGGTCGGACCTTCCTTGTATAGAGGCTACAGTTTTTCAGCTCAGTACATTGTTGCCCCACCCCCACCCCCAAAAAGAAAAAGATTCTGTTAAGAAAGGAGGTGGACTTTCCTCTAGTTCCTAAATGTTTCCTCCCCGCTCCCACTACCATGACTCGAATTCAAACTTGCAAGTCTGGCTAGACCAGAAGATGTACACGGGTACAGATAGGAACTGAAAATACAGGGAATCTAGGACGGATGAGCCCTACAGGACCAGTGGTGTGAGTGGCGAAACAGGGAGGGTAGAGGGAGAGTGGGTAGGAAAGAGGGAACCGATTACAAGGAACTATATGTGACCTCCTCCCTGGGGGACGGACAACAGAAAAGTGGGTGAAGGGAGCCGTCGGACAGGGCAAGATATGACAAAATACCAATTTATAAACTATCAAGGGCTCATGCGGGAGGGGGCAGCAGGGAGGGAGGGGAAAAATGAGGACCTAATGTCGGGGGTTTAAGTGGAGAGAAAATGTTTTGAGAATGATGTACAAATGCACTTTACACAATTGATGTGTGTATGGATTGTGATAAGAGTTGTATGAGCCCCTAATAAAATGATTTTTTTTAAAAAAGAAAGGAGGTAGAATACACACTGGCAAGGCACCGTCTGTGTTTGTTTGATGTGGTCAACTGGAATTCCCCTCCCCTTCTCTCTCCCCTGCCAGTGCTGTCTATTGACGTTCTCAGGTTTAGCCATTGCAGCCATCGGTGTGTCTGATCCGATGGTGCTTTTGTTGAAGCTCTTGTTGAGTGTGCTTGATGTCCTGACGAGTGGGAACTGACTGTAAAGAGTCTGTGTGGTGTACTTGGGGTGGTCGTATGGAATGTGTTGTACGGAACTCAGTGAATCTTTTTTGCCCTTTTGAACTTCAGTTCTAGCAACACAAAGAAGCCAGTGGACGACAGACGTGCGCATCAAGGCACTCCAGAGAGAGCCAAGAGCAGACACACGGTGCCGTGTACGCCTCCTGTCAGGTCTGTGTGTTTCCTGCACGCCCTTCAGCGAGTGGGACACTGTGTCAGTCTGGGTAGACTAGAGAAACAAATCCCTGGACACACATATGTGTATAAGAAAGAGATTTATATACAAGAGCAATTGAACATTGAGAAAACATCCCAGCCCAGTCCAGATCAAGTCCATAAGTCCGATATTAGCCCATATTTCTGCTATCAATCCATAAAGTCCTCTTCAGACTCACGAAGCACATGCAATGACACCGAATGCAGAAGATCACAGGCCAGTGGGTAGAAAGTCTTTGGATCCAGTGTCATTGGAAACATCTCAGTGCTGGCAGGGGTCTCAGTGCTGGCAGGGCGCATGGCTTCTCCGGCTTCCGAGGTCTGGTTGCGTCCATGTGGCTTGTCCTCTGCAATGTCTCCCAGGGAGTAGCAGAGAGAGTGTCTCTCCTGCCTCCAAGGAGGAAGTACCAGATTTCCCAGGTTTCTCAGAAGCCCATGCCCACACAAGAAGTCTCATTAGCTATCTCCAGATTGACAGCCTACACTCTTTATCCTTAAATTGACACCAGGTTAGGTGACTTCCACAGACACAATGACCAGTAGGCACAGCTGCACTCTGCTGGGTGCATGTGGGACTTGGGAGACCTTATAGCCTTTGGGGTCATAGGGAGGGGAATGGTTGACTGGAGCCTAGTGGGTGCTCAGATGTTAAACATCTTAGCAAAGCAAATATAAGAGCAATATTAAAGTAAAATCTTAGTAAAAGTTCTTAATACCTAACGAACAGTACCCCCTGCCCCAGCTTCCTTCTAGCCTTTTTAACATACATTGTTTTTAAAACTTTGTTTTATTTTTATGTCATTAATCAAATATACTTATTCTTCACCTCCATTTAACACGTCATGAAGGAGTGAATGGCGAGGGACACCAGGGGAAGGAATCACATTAATGCCTTTTGACGGCACGTTCCCAAGTCAGAGCTCTAGTCTCAGCCCTCTTACTTGCTTCTCCAGACTCCTGGCAGATTAACCCCTGTCTCTGCCTGCACTTTGGATTCTGCTTCTGGAATCGTAGTTACAGGTCCATCATGGGACAATGGCTGGCAGGGCCGCCTGGGATGGCTGGGGAGAGTCAGTGCCACGTATCGGAATCATGGAGAAAACAATAAGAAAACCACTGTTCTCACTTTTAGTAATAGTGCTTATTTCCATACAGTTGATGCTGTCTCTTAGGGACCCTGTAGCCTCATGGATTTTCAAGACTGTAACTCTTTACAGGAGTAAAAACCCTGTCTTTCTCACAGTCATAGTGCTAGCATTGCTTAATATCTTACTTTTAATATTTGTCTAGTAGGGGAAAAATGACTGTCTTCTTCAAATCTTGTTTCTCTCGCTCTAATGAAGTTAGCACTTGATGTAAACACGTTTTCTCATCAGGCTGCGAGCCGCCTTTGGTGCTGCTTTACTCACGGACGCCACAGAACGTTCCAGAGCTCTCTGTGCTGTTAGGGAAATCTTCACACTCTCATTTTGTGAAAGGCTATTAGTACCCTACCAAGTCACTCCTCTGTTATCGTAAGCCCTCTTCAGCGAGCAGCCTTCCTTTGACAGGTTTCCTCAGAGATCAGAAAGAAGCTCTTTGATCCAAGGGCGGTCTGACCAGTCGGATACCTGCTGACACTTTGTCAGTTTTGTCTCTGAGAGGACTGTGCTGATTTCTGGGGCCACTGGTTGTGATTTTTGGTTTCTTTCAATTACTTCAGTGTCATCAGCATTGCTTTTTATAATTTCAAAGAAGTTTTAAATGTAGTTGATCTAAAACGGCATCCAGTGATCTCATGCTGCTCATTGGACTGCTGCTAACAAGGTTGCACCTCTGTCGTTTCCCACATCTGTCGAGTGAGTTGTCTGTTCCCTTCATTCTCTGTGACCCTAGTCCACCCGTTGAACTGATCTACTAGACACAGATACTCTGCGAGGGGTGGGTGCTTCCAGCCCTCGTTTACAGTGGGCATACCTGAGACGTTAAACCGCTTTCTCGGGATCACTTAGGCAGAAGGTGAAATGAAGGGTTGAAATCTTAACCCTGGTTGACTTCACTCCTGTCTGCCCTCTCCATCACACTGTATATTTTTTGTATATTAATGCTTTGCCGTATTTGTTATAAGTAGTGTGCCCATTTTCCTGTTTGTGTTTTTTTTTCTCATTTTAGTTAGTTTTGTGTGTGTGCGTGTGTGTGTGGCTTAGTAGCTAACCATCTCTGAATCTTGTAATTTTTTTCTACAGTCTTGTAGCTGTTTTTCTTCCAAAACTTAAAATGGATTTTAAAGTGTGCATCTTAATTTTTGTTGTTGCCTAATTATTTATCCTAGTGTCATCAATATCACTTTATTGGATAGTCACACAGGTTAAAAAATCTGTTGTGTCTTTACAATGCCTGTAGATGCTTTTGAATTACTGAGCCCCGATCTCTTCTCCGCCCGTCTCCTTTATTGATTTGTTTTCTAGGCAGAAGGTTCTAAAAAGCACCGAGGAGCAGGAATTGGAAAAGCGAATGAAAATGCAGCAGGAAGTTGTGGAGATGCGAAAAAAGAATGAAGAATTCAAGAAATTTGCTCTTGCAGGAGCAGGTCAGCTGGCCTCTGGTTGACCCTGGTCGGTGCAGGCTGTTTCCTGTAAGCTCGGTTGCTGGGCTCTTCGCAGGCACAGAAGGCCCCCTGCAGTAGTCGGCGCAAGCCGGCTCCTACTCCAATGACCATTCCTCACAGCAGTCCCTCTGCAGTGGCCATTTTGGAAGGCATGCTCTACAATGTGCTTGTCTGCTCCTTTCTCAGTACACCCCCTTATAAAATATTTTTTAGCCCCTTTCTCATTTTTTCGAGTAGAATTAATCCTTCCTAGTTGTTCTTAATTATTTGTATTAGAAGAAACTAGGGTTGAGATGGAGAGAAAGCTCTCCCCTTTTTGTTTTACTCCAAGGCAGAGGAAAAGACCCTTCAGGCAAATCTCGTTGCAGTTAAGGAGAAAGAACGGGTGCCTGAGGCAGCTGACGTGGTCGAACTTCTGTTGTTGCTCTGGCACCGAGTTGTTAGGGTGGAACCAGAGCCATGGAAAAGCACGCTTACTGAGCACAGAGGCTGGTGAGCCAGTTGATGGCTTTGTGTAGCCAAAGTAGTCAGTGCACTGACTGTCTCCAGAGGGATGGCCACCCCCGTGACGAGGGACTCTTCTCTGTGCAGGAGTGCCTCGGGCTCTGTCACCCTTTGTGACTCGCTCACGGGATAGTACCCTGAAACGATCCCATGCTTGAGACATGGGTCCTGGAAGCCATTAGATCCAGGGTATTGGGACGACCCAGAGGATGAGAGTCAAGGGGTATTTAGCGATGCTCTCTGCTTCTCACTCAGGCCAACCTGTGAAGAAGTCAGCCAGCCAGGTAACCAAGTCTGTTGACTTCCACTTCTGCACCGATGAGAGAATCAAACCACACAAGAGCCAGGAGTACAAGGAAGTGAACTTCACATCTGAACTGCGGAAGCATCCTCCCTCTCCTGTAAGTCAGGAATGGATGAAGAGTCCTTTGTTCCTATTCAGTTAGGATTTCAGGTGTCATTCTTAGCCACCTCTCGGAATCACACAATCGAGTTCAAACCATGTGTTTGAACTAAGCTGGTTCTAAAGCCTCCTTGTGCTCCCTGTTAGTAGCTCTGTGATCGTCAACAAATCACTGCCTCTGGGAACCATCTCCCGAAGCTGCTATGAAAATGAAATATACCTGAAACAGTGTTAGTGTGACAAATTGTGGGTAGAGGTGTTTCTGCTGTATACAAAGGGTCTTAAAAACCCCGTCTTTGCGAAGTTATGTAAAAATATAACCAGATTTATGGGGAGCACGAGAATGTGGCACTTTTCCACTCAAATCTTGGGCAGTTTTGTAACAACCCACCCCCCTCCGGTTATCCAATAAGCAGTGCGTGCTTACTTGAACAATTTCACATTGTTTCACCACATGTAATTGCTTCCACACGTTAACAGGCTTGGAGAACCTAGCTTTGTGTGTGCCTTTGGAGAAGAGATGGCCTTTCTTAGGTGCTAGCTCCTCTTTTCTTTCTTTTTCCTAGTAGGAACAGACCCAGGCTAGAACCCTGGTCCAAGGGCTGGCAAGCTTAAGAACAGCTCTCTTTATTTCACACAGGCCTCCTTTCCCGGGCTGTCTGTGCCTAGTCTGTTGTTGATGATAAATAGGGGCTTTTTAGCCCTTTCTTCATCTGGGAAAACAACTTCTCTGTTTACAGGCACGAGTGGCTAAGGGATGCACCGTTATTAAGCCTTTCAACCTGTCCCAAGGAAAGAAAAGAACATTCGAAGAGACAACTTCTACATATGTGCCCCTTGCACAGCAGATCGAAGCCTTCCATAAACGAACCCCAAACAGATATCACTTGAGGAGCAAGAAGGATGAAATGAGTAAGTTTCCCACCAAGAGAGCTGCCAGGAACCTACTTGAGCATTCTCTTTGCCTACACAGCAGGTGAAAGTATACCTTGAGTTGAAACTGTAGCTTTTCAATGAAACTCTGGCATGTGATGATGTGCCTGTTGCAGCATTTCTGAGATCACTCAGCCCTCTGCCTGCAAATGCCTGCCTGCATATACCTGCTGTCTTTATCCTCCTGGCCACTAATTGGCCCCGGGCAATCAGGAGACTCAGAAGGGGGACCTTTGCCTTGCATTCGTCCTGTCAGATGGTGTAGTGACTCCTCTACGGAAAATGATGGCGGTTCATTCCGTCAAGGTTGTGTGCTTTTTTGTCCAGTGACTCGGTCCGTTGCTCATTGTTAGAAACCAGCGTGCCGGGTTGCAGAGGAGGTCTGAGCCTGTGGCTACGGAGCCAGTTCTGGGTCCTGGCAGTCGGGGTGGGTCAGGATTGTGTGGGGTATTCAGTGACTGTTGTTGTCAAAAGTAGAGCACCAGGGCTCACATCAAAGGCACCTCTGGACGGGAACTTCTTCCTCTGGTTCCCAACCCAGTACCGTCACCATTTACAGTATAGTCTCGAGAACACACAGGGGCCCTTCTACCCTTTCCTAGAGGGTCCTTACCAGTCGGCACCAACTCAGTGACAGTGATTTTGGAGGGGTGGGACACCCATAGGGTGGATAGAAGTAAACCAAGTGGATTTGGTAGCAGTCAGCATCAAATTTCCAACTCAGCAAGGCAGAGAAGCAACCCCCAGCGAGTTAGAAGCAACGATGGTAGAGGGAGATTGATAGAGCTTCTTTGGATGATGAGAGGTACCAGACAGTTGGTGGGGTGGGTAGGGAAGGAGGCGGGTGGGAGGGGGAGAGGAGAAGAGAGCAGATAACCAATGGGTTGAGGCCCTGGGCAAGCAGGTAGGGTCATAGGGACACTTGGCAGGTGGAGTGAGTGATCTCTGAGGGGAGGATGGAGGAGGGAGAGGAATGGGGGTGCGTCCTGGTGGGTTTACAGATTTGGTGGTGAGTGGATAAGGGGTTTTCATCTTGTAGCCCATGTTGCTATGTTCATATATCCCAGTAAGTTATATTATTATGAAGATTATCTACTATAAGAGATCAGATGAAATTATAGAACCTGCTGAGAGGTTAGAGCTAGCATTCTGGGCAGAGCACATCTGGTTTTAGCTCCGAATGTTTTTGGTTCCCTCACATTGGCCTTGTCTGTCGAAGACTGACGTAGCCAGACATATTCTTGTTACTGTGTTCCATTAGCCAAAATGGTTCCGTCAAAGTGAATATTGTGAAAATAGTATCTCTTTTGTCTGGTTGGGAATTTAAATATGAAACGTGGTTTTTCAAATAATGCACGAGGAGCCCTGGTTGCGCAGTGGTTACGTGTTGAGCTGCTCACCACAAGGTCAGCAGTTTGAAACCACCAGCCGCTCTGTGGGCGAAAGACAAGGCTTTCTACTCCTGTCGAGAGTTAGCACATCTTGGAAACCCACAGGGGCCGTTCTGCTGTGTCCGAGAGGGCCGCTGTGACTCAGCTCGACCTCGATAGCAGAGTTTGGTGTCCTTGGGTGGACTCCCTGCCTGGAGCGGATGATTAAGTGCTTGACTGTTCACTGAAGGTTGGTAGTTTGAAACGCCACCCCCACCCCCCAGCTACCTCAGAAGAAAGGCCTGGCTCTCTGCTTCCAAAAGCACAGTTCTCTGCAACATGTGGGGTCTCCATGAATTGGAACAACCAACTGGAGTGATAGGGGCGATGGTGGCTCAGGGATAGAATCCTCCCTCCATGCAGGAGGCCCACGTTCGGTTCCGTTCCTGCCTGTGCACCTCAAGCACAGCCGCCGCCACCTGTCACTGTGGGGCCATGGGTCACTGTCCTGCAGAGGAGGAGTTCGTGGAGCTCCCAGGCTAAGCTGGAGTGGGAAGGAGGCCTGGGGATCTACTTCTGAACCGCAGCCAGTGAAGACCCCGTGGGTCACAGCAGTCCAGTTCCCAGCTAGTCAGGGAGCTTGGGGCTGGGCCGGGCAGCATGGTGCCCTGTTTTGCATGGGGTGTCCGGAGTCGGGCTCACTCAGCAGCGGCTCACAAGAATCCGATGTGCCCTCCTCTTAGAAATCTATGCCTGGTAAATAGAGAGAAGAATCCATTTTGTGACTTTTTTTCTTTTAATTTGAAACTCCATGTAGTTATAACTAAATATGTAAGCCGGGCTCATTTCCAAAGTATAAGTTGCTTCGGTTTTCTGTCTGCTACAAGGAGTCTCTGGGACACACAGAGGGTGTCGCACTGAACTAGTAGCCATTCAAACCCCCCACGCACGGCACATTGTCGTCGTCGCCATTAGGTGCCATTGAGTGGGTTCTGACCCACAGGGACCCACGCCACCTGATGCTGTGCCGTCCTCACAGTTGTTGGTTTGAGCCTATTGTTAGAGCCACTGTGTCAGGCCGTCTTGTTGAGGGCCTGCCTTGTTTTCTGCTGCCCCTCCACTTTACCGAGCACGATGTCCTCTTCCAGAGACGGGCCTCTCCTGACAGCATGTCCACAGTACGTGAGACGAAGTCTCTCCATCCTGGCCTCTGAGGAGCAGTCTGGCTGGGTCCTTTTGGCGGGACATTTTCAGTAGCCTTTTCCAGCACCAGCATTCAAATATATCAGTTCTCCCTCCAACTTTCACATGCAGATGAGGCCACTAAAAATACCCTGGCTTGGGTCAAGTGTACCTTAGTCCTAACAGCAGCAACACTCTTGCTTTTCAACGTTTTAGAGAGGCCACCGCATCAGTGAGGCCTGGGATCGTCTCCCAGGTTACAGCCTTGATGCCCGCGGGAGGCTGTTCTCTGCAGTGGGAGGCGGCCATGAGTCGCATTAATTCCAGAGCGACTTAAGAACAGCCACAAAGTCTCAATTGCGGGCTCAGTCTGTGGGATTATGCAAATTGACAAGGTGCCCAGGCCAGATAAACGGAAGGTGGTGGTGGCTTTATGTACGTTCAACCGTGGCTGGCTGACTTTCTCAGCTTGTCTGCCTCAGGGGCAGTCTTGACGCTCTGACATCGATATTCTTAGGAAATTCAGAACATGGGGCATGATTTCCAGGATTGGTCCCTAGAAAGGCCTTATTTTAAAACAGGAGTAAGCAAAAATCTTGTTAATAACAAGTAGGAAGGAAATGCAGTCCTGTGGAGTGGTAAGGAATGCATCTGACTAGAAAGGATTTTGAGTTCCAGAGACGGGAACAGAGTTTGCTACAGGCTGTGTTGTCCACGTTCCGTCGTGGAGAGTGTGACAGGGAGGAGGGAGGGACGGAAGGCAGGCTTGCACAGCCAAGGGCCCTCACCCCGAGTCAGCATGGACAGGTCAGCTGGGTCTTGGGGCACTAGGTGAATGTCGGTGATTTTGGTTGGCAGACCTGTTACCGTCCAAATCTTCAGCGGTCAAGATCTGCAGAGACCCACAGACTCCCGTTCTGCAGACCAAGCAGCGCACGAGGCCGGTGACCTACAAAAGTGCAGCAGACCAGGAGGCTGAGCTGCTGGAGAAAATGCAACAGTAAGTGCCCTGGGCCAAATTTGAGCAAGAGCCCAAGAACCTCTCCGTTTTCTTTTGTCTTCTGTAAGGAGACAGACGAGACCGTCTCTCCCTGTCTGTGGGATCGAAGCGTTCAAAGTGGGACTGTGGAGGTGTCCTGAAGAATGACTGGATAAAAACTCAAACTGATAAGTAATGCAGAGGTTGGGGTAGGAGAACTTAAGGTTCTTAAATCATTTTATTGGGAGCTCTATCACAATCCATACATATATCCGTTGTGTCAAGCACATGCCTACATATGTTGCCATCATCATTTTAAAAACATTTTCTTTCTACTTGAGCCCTTGGTATCAGCTCCTCATTTTCCCCCTCCGTCCCTCCCTCCTTCACCTCCATCTCTCACTCCCTCCCTCATGAACCCTGGTTAATTTAGAATTTTTTTTTTTTCATATCTTGCACCGAATGCTGTCTGCCTTCACCCACTTTTCTGTTGTCTGTCCCCCCTTAGGAAGGGGTTATAAGTAGATCATTGTGATTGGTTCCCCCACCTTCCCCTTCCCCTCCTGGTATCGCTACTCCCATTATTGGTCCTGAAAGGTTTATCTGTCCTGGATTTCAAGCTCTTCTTTGTACCCGTGTACATGCTCTGGTCTAGCCGAATTTGCAAGGTAACACTGAGGTCATGATAGTGGGGGGTGAGGAAGCATTAAAGAACTAGAGGAAAATTGTATGTTTCATCAAGAACTTAAGATTTTTGAACCAGACTGCAGGAAACCATAGAAGCTGGCTGGGCCCCAGGCCTGAAGAGGGGTGGGGAGAAGGAATACAGTAAATAAAAGGCTTTTGTATAAAAAAAAAAAAGAACTTAAGATTTTTAACTAAGAAGACAGTGAAGGAGTGTCCTCTGACATAGATGGGTGGACCCCACAGCCTCATGGTCAGCCAAGGGATGGCTTATCTTTGAGTAGTGAGTTACCTCAGTTAGACCTGGGGCACAGCTCCTGTCTGCTCCTCCCGTTTCCTTTCGTTTGTCTTTTGAGAAGGGGGAACATTAGGACACTCTCCTTAATTCTTTGCTGTAGATGTGAAGACATGCCTGTGGAGAGAGTGGGGACTTTGCTGGGTAAAGTTGCTCATTTGTCCCCTGCCCCCTCTGCTCTTTCTCACTTGGCTGTTGGTGTTGCCAGTTGGGTTGGTAACCACAAGGCCAGCATTTGGAAGCACCGCTGTTGCGAGGGAGGAAACCCACAGAGGCAGTTCTGCCCTGTCCTGTAGGGCAGTCGGAGCCAGTCTCTCCCAGGGCACTGAGTTTGACAGTTTTCTGTTTTTGAGAGTTGTGTAGTTTTCCTTTTACTTGATTTTCATTTTTTGTTGTTAGTGTGTGTGATTGCCATTACACTCTTGTCTCGCAGATACAAATTCAAAGCCCAGGAGCTTGATCCCAGGATTCTTGAAGATGGGCCCATCTTGCCCAAGAAACCACCTGTGAAGCCACCCACTCAACCCATCGGGTTTGATTTGGAAATCGAGAAAAGAATTCAGGAGCGAGAGCCCAAGAAGAAATCAGAGGAAGAGCACTTTGAGTTTCATTCCAGACCCTGCCCCACCAAGATCCTGGAGGATGTTGTGGTAAGCACGGTTGGGGCTCTGCAGGGCGGCAGACGGGTCCTGCATCTGACCATCCCTCCACCCACACACACAAGTGAGTCATTGCTAGGAGCTGGAAGGAGAGGGAGACATATTAAGAGTGGGTTTCCTCCCAGGAGATGTGATGTCTAGAAAAGGGAGCGGTGTGTAAATAACATAAGGGCGTGGAAGGGTTCGAGAGTGTGACAATGACAAGCACTGTAGGAGTTCAGAGGGAAAATGACCCCACCCTCCTGACCGGGACAAGGTGCAGTGGTCCTTGTCCTCAGGTCCTCTGCCTACTTCCTGCCGACCCACAGCAGCCCTCAACAAGGTGGAACCGCCCTGTGCCTTTCCGAGACTGGCCCTCCTTCCGCGTGTACCAAGCCCGTCTCGCTCCTGGTTTCCAGCTGCTGGGCTGTGGTGAGCAGCCCCGTTCGTGACCACGGTGCCACCCGGGCTCCTCAGCATGAGATGAGAGTAGCCGACGTTTGGACTTGTGTGCCAGGCACAGCTTACCTGGAGAAGGCGGTGATGCCCGGGGAAGTAGAGAGTCAACACAAAAGAGGAAGGCCCTCCAGCGCAGGGGCTGCCACAGTGGGCACCAAGAAAACCCTCGTGAGGACGGCCCAGGACGGGCAGCGTGTCATCCTGCTTGTCCATGGGTCTCTGAGTCAGGGTCCACTCAGCAGCAGCTGACACCACCACGACTCCTCCTCGCAGAGCAGCGGCAGGGCTGGGCTGGGCTGGAAGCAGTGTTCTTCCTGACCCCTTCCGCGTGCTCAGAGGTGTTCCAGCAGAGGCTGCTCTCCACCCCCGTCCCAGGTGCGGCAGAGAGATTGTTGTGGTAATGCGGGGTAAGCGTGACATGACATTTCCTCTCTCGGATCTTGTCACTCTGACTACAGGTCTGCACTACTGGACTTTACTGTGTTAGTGCAATGTTCAAAAACCTAAAACCTTCTATAGCAGAACTCACAGTCTTGGTCACGTGGAGACTATAAATTCCTTTCCAGCTGTGATCACACGCCAAATATTTTGGAAGGGAACTTGCCTCTGGATCCTATGGTAGAGTCTGGCATCTCCTCAGTCATGGTCAATCTTCAAATTTTAAGTATTAATTTGCTCCTAGAGCTAGTCTAAGGTTATTTGTAACGGAAAGTTCGGACTAGCCTAGGATCATAGAACTGGAAGTGACCATGGAATTTAAAGGAAAGCTTGAGGGGCTGTCTGTGGGGCGGCTTTGGAAGACACTCCTAGAAAGACGTTCCAGACATGTCTGGGACGGTCGCAGCATTGTTGGGATTAGGAAGTCTCCGAAGGCATCCTCTTAGAGTCCAGGATGTAAATCATGCCACTCATGCGCCCGTCCTTCCTAGTACAATCATCCCATCAACATTTGCTGAATGCCTCTGGCTTGCCCAGCCTTGTACCAGAGTCTCGAAATCAATGGCCTAAAGCACCATCCTCGCCAAGGAAGCACTCCCAGGCCAGCAGGGGGTGGACGTGTGAATCACTGAGGGCAGCGAAGTGTTATATGAACTGTGGTGGAACATGATCGAGGGGAAAGATGAGGCAGCTCTGCGCGTCCTGGGAGTGGCAAGATCTATCGAGAGGCCTGATGAAAGAGGAGATAATTCTGTGGAGGCTTGAAAAGATGGGTTAGATGCTTCCGGGTAGTCAAGGCATCTCAGAGAAAGCACACTGAGTGAGTGCCTGCAGAGGTATTGAGATCAGAGGCAGTGGTACGTTTGGGGAGCTGCCAGCAGTTCTCTGTGGTGTGAGCGTGGTGTGCAGTGAAGGGCGAGCGAGAAGACTGCGGAATCAGGCAGGGGACCAGCTTGCAAAGTGCCTCGTCACTTCCCTGTTATGCTCTTGTAGGTCGGCAGCAAGAGCCAGTATGTTAAAGTTGGAAGGTAAGGTGATCAGATATGTTTTAGCAAAAACCGTTCCGGCCGGATGCTAGTCGAAATGTCCACGTTCTACCCATAGGGACTATGGGATGGCAGAATAGTGTGGTGTGTGTAATGCATCTCCCTTGGAAGAAGTAAACCTTTCTAAGGAGATGTTCCTTAGAAGCGAACTTGGTGAGGCTCTGTCTGTCTCATGTACTTTGGATGGGTCATCAGGAGAGACTAGTCCCTTTCCCGTATTTGGTGAAGTAGATCGTCCTCAAAACAAGACTTGGATGGATTGGCCCAGTGCTACGACAGTGGCTCCCTGCAGCAACACCTGTGAGACGGCACCAGGCTTGGCAGTGTTTTGTTCTGTTGTGCATAAGGTTGCTGTGGGTCGGACCCCACTGAACAGCAAGCACCAAGCAACAGGAGCGGCTCCACAATAGACTTGTTTGGATGAACCACAGCATAAGAACGGGTCCAACTAATTCTTTATTGTCAGATAATTGAATCATCCGTAACGTCTGACTTTAAGAATGTTAAAGAAACGATGGAATTGAGACCATCCATTGAATATTAGAAGTATCATTAGGGTGAAAGGGCACAACCATTAAGCACTTTAATAGAAATGGCATCCCTAAAGGTCGTACCAACTCACACCCTCCCTCCACCCAGTTGTTCGTGTGTGCCCATTACTCTTTACTCCGCCACACTGGCACTGTTTGCAAAATACCGCTCATGGGTGAAAATAGCTTGTTTTAATTGTATTTTAAAAGACTACGAAATTAATACTTTTATTTATCTTTGTGCATTCTTGCTCTTTTCTCATTTCTGACAAAGGCAAATTGAATTAGGTCTTTGCCCAGTCTCCTTACCTCATTTGCCTTTGGAGGATAATGTTTTGAATGTAAATTTTTGTTGTAGAGACTGTATTAAAAGTAAGTTTTAAGAGACCGGGAAGGATCTGTTCTGATCCTAGGTGCGTTGATTTATTTTGTCTGCGGGGTTGGAGTATTCCAAGAAGTGGGGAGAAACTATAAAATATTGGCATGTAGGGTTCCCTTCTGGTGTATTTTTCAAGAATACCAATCTAGGTTGTATGAATTACATTCTGACAGAAAATATCTAATTCTGCCCCTCCTTGCTTGCCACTCTCTGTCACAATAACCCATCCCTTGCTGTCTGAGTCAGGTAAACAACACATCTTTAAATGCTAGCCCATTCTTCATTCCTGGTAAATGAACTTACCCTTAAAGGATGGTTTACTCGTATAACACAGGGTTGCTTGTCCATTCACTTAATCACATACATAGTGCCTGTGTGTGCACAGGGACCTCCAGGCCCAGCATTACCATGTGCCTTCCCCTCAGGGAATGTGCAGCTGAACGGGGACTGTCCTGTGGTGTCTAATTGAAGTGCTTCTTCCTCTCAGGGTGTGCCAGAGAAGAAAATACTTCCGATTACCATTCCCAAGTCCCCGGCCTTCTCGCTGAAGAACAGAGTTCGAGCGCTCACCAAAGAAGAAGAGGTGCTTTCCTGGGAGCAAAGGCTTCTTTCACCTTCTGCAGAATCAGTCTAAGCATTACCCATTTTTTAGCTTAATGGGATTCCTTGGTGGTCACCCTTGTCTTGAGCTGGCTGTAAGAATGAGGAAGCGTGAGTGTGGCCTGTGTTGTGGCTCCTGCAAGAGAAGCGAGGTGCCGTGTGTGAATCTCCTGACTCAGTGGAAACTGCTGACTGGAGGCGGTCCGTTTCTGTAGCGTTGAAACCCAGCCCCTCGGTGCAGGAGACAGTTCAGCATGGGCTATGGAAGTCGTCTGAGACTAAATTGCCCCCGATGGCCTTCTTGGCACATGTTTAGTAGGTTGTTTTGTTTTTGTTTTCCTAGAAGCAGGAATATTCTTATGTTTCAACCATCGGAATTCAGAAATTACTACTCTTGAATCCTCCCTGAGAAAACAGAGCAGATGCCCTTATTTTGCTAGAGAGGGTTACTCAGAAGTTGTCCACAGACTGTGTTTACACTGCTGACTGGTTTGCAATCAGAAAAGCACGGAAATTGAAGATAGGACAAACACTTATAAGTTTATAACTTACAATTCTATTTATTTATTTTTTAATTTTTATTTTTTAATTGTTTTATTAGGGGCTCATGCAACTCTTATCACAATCCATACACACATCAGTTGTGTAAAGCACAATTCATTGCCCCCATCATTCTCTAAACATTTGCTCTTCACTTAAGCCCCTGGCATCAGGTCCTCTTTTTTTCCCCCCCCTCCCTCCCCACTCTCCCCTCCCTCATGAACCCTTGATAATTTATAAATTATTAATTTTCATATCTTGCCCTGTCCGACGTCTCCCTTCACCCATTTTTCTGGTGTCCGTCCCCCAGGGAGGAGGTCACATATAGTTCCTTGTAATCAGTTCCCTCTTTCCTACCCATCCTCCCTGTATGCTCCCAGTATCGCCACTCACACCACTGGTCCTGAAGGGATATCTGCCCTGGATTCCCTGTATTTCCAGTTCCTATCTGTACCAGTGTACATCCTCTGGTCTAGCCAGACTTGCAAGGTCAGATTTGAGTCATGGTAGTGGGAGTGGGGAGGAAACATTTAGGAACTAGAGGAAAGTTGTATTTTTCATCGTTGTTACATCGCACCCTGACTGGCTCATCTCCTCCACGAGACCCCTCTGCAAGGGGATCTCCAGTGGCCTACTAATGGGCTTTGGGTCTCCACACCGCACTCCCCCCCTCATTCACTGTGGTAAGATTTTTTGTTCTGATGTTGCCTGATACCTGATCCCTTCAATACATCGTGATCGCACAGGCTGGTGTGCTTCTTCCATGTGGGTTTTGTTGCTTCTGAGCTAGATGGCCGCTTGTTTACCAACTTACAATTTTATATCTGTGCTGACTCTGGAAATGAAAAGTTTGGGCTTGTGTTAATACCCGTTTATCCCCCTTTTAATTTTTAGTAATTCAGCTTTGCTTTGCTTTTATAAAATATATCCGTATGCCTTGAATTAAATGAAAAACAAAGATGAATAAACTGGTCTTTCCCCATAGATAGCCTGAGAAGCATGTGGCAAAGGCTACCTGTTAGAAGCAGACTGCTATTGCGCCTGTTGTAAATGGTGCTGTTAGCATGTTTGTTGTTGCGTGCGAGGGTCCTCATCGGTGAAGAACGGAAAGGCATGAGGATTAAAGGGAAAGAAAACAAAACACACCAGAGTAGCGGCAGGTCGAGTCCATAGAAAACGCAAAGCAGTCTTTTCAGTGTCCCAGCTGCTAGCTACCCCAGCATCTCCTGCCTCGTCCCTGTCCCTGTCCCTGCCCTCTCTCTGCTAAGCCAAAGGCTACGCGGGTGACCGTGTAGGGAGAGTTCATGGAACTGGAATACACAAATTGCCGTAGATCAGGCTAGTTTCTTGTTACACTCCCCATTTTATATTTAAATATCCAGAGTTAGGGTAATTTTATAGCAGATCTCAAGCGTAAGCCTTTTTATAGTTTCATTTGAAACTAAAATACATGGCAATCTTATGTTACCAGCTTGAACCCAAAGAATTTACGTAGTCCTATTTTGGGTTTGGCAGGCCTTCCCTCCAGTCACACGCTGCAGTGGAGTCTGGAGGCTGGGTCGGCGAGAGGCGAGGGTGGATGCCTGCTTCAGGGCCTTTCTGCAGGCCTCCTCTCCCGATGTTCGCCCCCATCTGTTTTCACAGCCTTCCCAGGGAGAGTTCTAGAGCTTTTAAGGGTACCTGTGTTAGCACTCACCAAATGCGTCCATTAGCTGTCTGATAGAAGAGGGAAGCCAAGACACCCATCAGGTTGAGGGGCTTGCCCTCGGTAGCACGCTGCTGCCCCTGACGTCTGCTGACTCCTCATTCTGAGGTGGGGGTAGCCACGAGGAGCCTTGATCTAAGCTCTGTGTCCCCCCAGGAGGAGGAGGAGGAGGCGGTGGTGATAAAGGCTCAGCCGGTGCCACATTATGGAGTGCCTTTCAAGCCCCAGATCCCAGAAGCAAGGACTGTAGAAGTGTGCCCTTTCTCCTTTGACTCGCGGGACAAGGAGCGCCAGCTGCAGAAGGAGCGGAAAATAAAAGAACTGCAGAAGGGGGAGGTAGGTGCTTCCACTTCCTTGGGCAGCGGATGCTTTTCTTTGGTGGCACCACGGACAACCATCACTCCCTGCCTCTGCCCAAGAGCCCAGTGCAGTAGAAACAGTTCAATTCACTTCCGTAGCTATCCCGTCCCAGGAAGGTAAGTGACCTGCCCAAGCTCACGCTGCCGGTTGGTTCTCGGCTCCATTGGGAAACACACCAAGAACTCCCCCTGAGCCCCTGCCTCTGCAGGACCGTGCCACTTTGAAAACTGACGGCCTCGCCTGCTTTTCAGATTCACCCAAGTGGTGTACTGTGTTCCGACAAGAGAGGCTTATCCAAGTTCTCTGTTTTCTTTTCAATCAGATGCCCAAGTTCAAAGCACTTCCTCTGCCCCATTTTGACAGCGTGAACCTGCCAGAGAAGAAGGTGAAAACGGCGACCCAGATGGAGCCTTTCTGTTTGGAGACTGACAGAAGGGGGGCTCTGAAGATGCAGACTTGGAAGCACCAGGTGGGGAGGGGCCCGAGCAGCCAGAATGGCCATAAATGGGAGGGCCTGGGCACTGTGTTCCTGTCCTAGTGCGGCCCTAACATTACCGCCAACTAGGTGGTGTGCAACAACTGACATGGATTCCCTCACAGTGTGAGATCCAGGCCTTGCAGGGCCTTGCTTTCCCTGAGATTCCAGGGAGGAATCTGTTCCAGAGCTTTGTCTTGGCTTCTCCCTCCCTCCTTCCCTCCCTCCCCAGTCACTCTGGGTTCAAAACTAACAAGCTCCGTGGAGACCCTATAGGGCAGGAGAAAAGGGCCCCTGTGTGTTTCTTAGGCCGTAACTACAGGGGAGAAAGCCTGTCTGTGTCCTGCAGAATCCCTGGTGGTTTTGAACTGCAGACCTTTTGTAACCACTATGCCACCAGGGCTCACTCTGGATTTAGAACCCTTTTTTTTTATCCTTTTATTGGGGGCTCTTACAGCTTTTATCACAATCCATACATCCATCCATTGTGTCAAGAACATTCGTACATAATTTGCCATCATCATTTTCAAAACATTTTCTTTCTACTTCAGCCCTTGGTATCAGCTCATTTCACCCCTCACCCTCTCCCTCATGAGCCCTTGATAATTCATAAATTATTTTTTCATGTCTTATACCGATTGCTGTCTCCCTTCACCCCTGTTGTTCATCATACCCCTGGTTGGGGCTTATATGTGATTGGGTTCCCCCTTTCTTGCCCCACCTTCCCCCTAGTCTGCTATCGCTACTCTCATTATTGGTCCTGAGGGGTTTATCTGCCCTGGATTCCTTGTGTTTCCAGCTCTTATCTGTACCAGTGTACTTCCTCTGGTTTAGCTGGATTTGTGAGGTAGAATTGGGGTCATGATAGTGGGAGTGGGGGGAAGCATTAAAGAAGTAGAGGAAAGTTGTATGTGTCAGCAGTGCTACAGTGCACCCTGACTAGCTCGCCTTCTTCCTCGTGGCCCTTCTGTGAGGGGATGTCCAATTGTCTGCAGATGGGCTTTGGGTCTCCACTCCGCCCTCCCCCTCACTCACATCGATACGACTTTTTGTTCTGGGTCTTTGATGTCTGATGCCTTATCCCATCGACACCTCATGATCACACAGGCCGTAGGACCCATTTAATTTATTACAATTTCATCTTAACAAACTACTTTCCAAAACCAGGTCACTTTTCTGAAATTCCGAGTGGCAATGAGTTTTGAGTGGGGACAGTGTCCCCTCCAGCAAGATCACTGCTCTTATGCTCTGGGCTCCTCTTGTAGGAAGCCATCCCTTTAAAGCCCACGAGCTGTTTGTGATTGCTTTCACAAGGGGACCGAGGACACCTGCTGGCCTGGTTCTCCAGCTGGACTCGGAGGCTGGCTCGGAAGTAGACGCCACAGTGTGTCTTTGTACGGTGTTTTCCATCAGAGAAAAAAAAAAACATTTGTAAAGTTTTTCAGACATGAAAAGTAGAGAGAATCACATAATGCAGTTCTGTCGCCTGGTTCTAGAGTAATCAGTGCATGGACCACCCTGTTTCAGCCTCCTTGTCTCTGTACCAGAAACTTCTACCCTCAGAACTCTCCTGAGAAATCCTAGAGCTGTGGTTCTCACCTGGGGGTTGTGACCCCTTTGGGGGTCAAACAACCCTTTCACAGGGGTCACCCAATTCATAACAGTAGCAAAATGACAGTGATAAAGTAGCCACGAAAATAATTTTATGGTTTGGGGTCACCACCACTTGAGGAACTGTATTAAAGGGTCGTGGCATGAGGAAGGTTGAGAACCACTGTGCTACATACTTAACTGCACACAGAGATTCAACACCTGTCTTTAAAGAGGACTTCACAAAGCAAAACAATACTGTTCTCACACTTAAAAAGATGAGCAATAATTTCTCAATCTTGTCAAACTCAGCATTCAGATATCCCAAAGTCCCTCTAATTGTTAGCAGTTGAATAGTACACACATTGGATTGGTTGGTTAACTCTCTAGATTCCTTTTAATTGATAGGTTCCCTGCTTGCATCTTATTTGTTGAATAAACTGGATCATTTGCCCTATGGATTTTGTACAACCTGGATTTTACTGATTGCATTCCTTTGATGATGTGTACCAAATTACTATCCTCAGTATCTCCCTCCTCTAAATAGGCTTGATTAACTTCTGGGGCCAAGGTACTTTTCAGGCGATACTGTGTACTCCCAAATAAATCACACTGGGGCCATTCGCCTAGTTATTTATGGTTTGGGGTTTAAGATGGGTCTTAAAAGTCTCTCAAAGATTCCTTCTAACTCAGATGGGTGAGCGGTTTCACTGGGCACACAGAAACTCACCGTCTTTATAATGAAGCTGCCCAGAAGCATTGCACTTGAGTCATGGAGATGTGGTGGGCCTGGCAAGTGGTGTGGTTGCCTCTGACTGTCTCGCTCTCTCAGCTGGAAGAAGAACTGAAACAGCAGAAGGAAGCAGCTTGCTTCAAGGCTCGACCAAACACCACCATCTCCCAGGAGCCCTTCATTCCCAAGAAGGAGAAGAAAAGCGCAGCCGGTAGGGTTTGGGGTACACTTGGAGTACTGGGGCAAAACTGGTGGCAGACTTCTTGGGGGGGGGGGGGTTACCTGTGACTCAGTTGTGTCGTTACAGTGCTGTGTCAGCCAGAAACCTTTGACTGTAGAATATTGTAGCTTTGCTGCCCCTGGAATCAGGGTTTAGCCTTTGTTGAACACAGAGGCCCTGTTGAGTTGCAGAATGTACAGCCCGAGTCATAGAACGGGAATACTGGGAGGCACTGTTGGCATTTCAGCGGCAGCCGTCAGCTTTCCCTGGCCCCTGGGGCAGCCAGTAAAGGGGTGGGGAAGGAGGGAGGAGGGCGAGAGCCAGCGGTGTTTCTGGAGTCCTTCATGAATGCAAGCCTTGGACATGGAATTGAATGCCTTAAGCATCGAGCAGGGTGTCAGGAAATTAAGATTCTTCTGCATCCGCCCAGATCTGTGTAGTTTTACTTTTGAGTAAGTTAACCTTTATTTATTTCTGTGGGCCTATTTTCCTGATGACATTAGAAAATTTCCAAGAGTCTTTCCAACTCTCAAAATGTTGACTTATTTTTTATAAGACTCTTAATGTACAAACGTCCATGGTTCTCCCACCCGTTTGTCCCAGTGGGCCCTTCTGCTGCCATGCATGTCTGAACCCCTTGTGTGGTCCTAGACTGGGCTCACGCATGCCTTGCTTGTGCACCGATGTGCTCTCTGTTCTGTACTCAGAAGGCCTTGCTGGTTCTCTAGTCCAGGAACCTTTTCAGCTGGCCACAGAGAAGAGAGCCCAGGAGCGCCAGGAGCTGGAAAGGAAAATGGCTGAGCTGGAAGCCCAGAAAGCCCAGCGCTTGGAGGAGCTGCGGCAGCAGGAGGAGCAGCAGCAGCAGGAGGAGCTGGCCCAGCTGCGGAAGGAGCTGGTAACTGCGCCCTCAGCTCTGCTCTGTGGGCTGACACCTTAGTCCGAACTCCCTTTTCCTTCAGTGCTTGTCCCGCCCTTGTGTTTGGCCCTGTCGTAGAACTGTTTCTTAAGGGACACTCGGTGGAGGCGGATAAGCACACCAAAAACCAAGTTCACTGCCACCGAGATCCCTGGCACTTACAGGACTCGTGGCACTTACAGGACACGGTAGAACTGCTCCTGTGGGTTCCGAGATTGTGACTCTTACGGGAGTAGAGAGAGCCTTGTTTGTCTTTCTCCCGTGGAGCATCGTGGTTTCAAACTGCTGACCTCTGGTGGTTAACAGCCCAGTGCACAGCCACTATGCACCAGGGCTCCCCGTGCAGGCCCACAGGCCATCCTAGAGGCCACCTTGCCAGTTGCCTTTCCACAGACACAGCTTGATTCAGTGTGGATCTCTGGGCCCCCCTCCCAATAACCTTTCCTGGTCATTGACGTCCTTGTCCACACTTTTGGTAAACGTTAAGGGGAAGTGCACTTAAGATTGGACACTGGCAAGCTCCTAACATGTAACAATTCTCTGCTGCAGTTGAATGAGAGCTGCCTCGTGCATCATTCCCAATCAAGTTGGAGATAGGTGTGACTTTTCCCCCCGATAATTTTATTGATAGAAAATTCACATATCATACACTTCAATAGTTAGATCACTTTTTAAAAGAGTTGTATGTACATCATCACTATCAGTCCTAGTGCACCTTCCCCCCTCCCTTATTCATTATTTGTTCCCCAGTTCCCCTCAACCCCCCCCACCAACCATCTTTGATAAACTATCACCGCAGTTATTGTCTCTGTGCATCCATTCCTCTGTGCTTCATCAACTTGGAAACATAACAGAGACAATAAAAAAACAAAAACACATAAAAAGGAGGAAAGAAAAGACTACCAGCAATATTAAAATAAGCCAAAGAGAAAATTTCTGTCATGGAACAAGTGCGAAATAGGATGGGTCAAGAGAAAGGTCAACTGACCCGGTGTCCCATTATACTGTAGCCCCATCTCCCAGAAGCAAGTTTGCGATAATCTCTGTGGTAGCCAGGCTGCTCTCTCCCCGACTGTGATCAGAGGGGCCCTGCCAGAGACTCCAGCTGCCTACATACCCCCACTGCCTCCATAGCCATCTACAGACTGGGTGTCCACAATTTTACCTCTGATACTCTTCTTATCAGCATCTTTGGATCTTCCATACAGGCTGGGGTGCTTCTTCGATGTAAACTTCATTGATGCTCTACTTAGATGGCTGCTTGTTTGAATAGAAGCCTTTAAGACCCAGACACTATTCCATTTGATAGCTGGGCACCATCTGCTCTCTCCACCACCCTGTGCCGTAGCCCCTGATCTCCAGTGATCCTTTCATGAGGGCCAGTATCGGGCTGGGCCATGAGGTGTGACATTCCACAGGGAAAGCTAAGGGGCCCAACCTTGGGGATCCGGAGCTCACAGACTTTTCCATTAAAGTTGGTGACTGGGATCTAGAAAATGGCGTGATTGTTTTTTCAGGAAGAAAATGTTAAAAGCGCTAAGTGCATCTCACACCCTCACTAAGGGAACTTTCCCCTTCCTCTCCAGGTCCACAAGGCCAACCCAATACGAAAGTATCAGGCTGTGGAGGTCAAGTCAAGTGACCAGCCTCTGACCGTGCCTGTGTCTCCCAAGTTCTCCACCCGATTCCACTGCTAAGCTCTGCGGGGAGCGAGGCGCTGCCTGGGACCAGGAGCTGCTCTGCACTTGCGCCAAGAGCCTTCGTTCACTGCCACGGGCACGGGCATGGGCATGGGCATGGGCGTGGCAAAGACATTGTTACCTTCTCTGGCCTGACAGTGCTCACCTATGTAGGACTGACTCTATGTCATGGTTTCCTTAAAGCCCGCATTGCTGTAATAGAATTTGCATTCTCTGACTAGAATTTAGTCGCAATATAATCTCTACTGTCCTTTTTAAAAAAATCCATTTTATTGTGGAAATAAAGATAGTTAAGTGCCAAGATCAAGTGAAGCCATGGTTCATTGTCTGAATGGCAGCGTGAATGGAGGAGGGTCCAGGGCAGTCGTGCGGGCGGGATCCCAGAGCTGTTGGCCGAAAGGAAAAAGGTCCTGGCTGCAGGTAGCATGCGCACAGCCAGTTTGTTGGGGCCAGCACCCCGGCAGTAGCAGGTCCCCCCAGGACGGGAAGAAGGTGGAACACCCATGTCAGAAGGACAGCAGCATCCTAGGGTCCGTTACAAAACCCCAGACTCACTGCACAGAGTGGACTCCAGCTCCTAGTTGACTATGCGGGATGGAGTAGAACTGCTTCTGTGGGTTTCTGAGACTTGACTGTAGGGGAATAGAAAGTGACATTTAAAAACAGTTTTAGTAACACTTCACATATCACACAATTCAAACATACCAGGAAGAGTTGTGCAGTCATTACCACGGTCGGTTTGAGAACATTTTCTTTCTTGTACTCATTGATATTAGTGTCATTATTACTTTTTAATTGTGGCAGGACATTGCCCAGTCCAACAACCTCTGCATGTATACCTCCGTGCCGTTGATGATACTCTTCGTGTTGTACAACTATCACTGGTATCCTTTTCCAAATGATTCACTACCAGTAACTCATTGCCCCCACGCAAAACTCTTCCTCCTTCACCCATGGTAACCATTGGTCAACTCTGGTTTCTGTTTTTTATATTTTTATTAGTTTTCTTGATACAAAATTCACATATCATATACTTCCACGGTTAAGTCACGCTTAAAAAGCGTTGTATATGCTACATCACAGTCAGTTCTAGTCCTCCCTACCCCCTGCATTGCTTGTTCCCCAATTCCCCTCCCCTCCAGAAACTGCCCCGTAAACCCTGGTGTCAGTTATTGCCTCCTGTGCCTCGTAAACCGGGAACCTAACCATCAAAAACAGAATGAAAGAAAAGATGAAAATGAGAAAGGCCACCAGCAATATATCTATTTAATTGTTATTTTCATGTCTTCTACCGACTGCTGTCTCCCCCCACGGTCTCTCATTCATCTGCCTGGAGTGGGGGTGTGGTTATGTGTCAATTATTGCGATTGGTTCCATCTTCCTCCCCTCATCTTCCCACCTTGCCCCTTCCCTTCTTGTATTGTTACTTCCATTCCTGTTCCTGAATTCCATGTGTTGTGAGCGGTATCTCTTATCTGTACCTGTGTACATGCTCCAGTCTAGCTGCAGTGAGAGGCAGGACTGGGTCATGATAGTGGGGGGTGAGGAAGCCTCAAGGAACCAGAGGAACATTGTGTTTCATCGGTGCTAGACTGCACCCTGGTTGACTCATCCCTTCCTTGTGACCCTTCTGTCAAGGGGATGTCCCATTGTCAACAGATGGGTTTTGGGTCTCTGCTCCAATCCCCCTTGTTAACAAAAATATGGTGTTTGGGGTCTTCATTTACCTGTTAACTGGTCTCAACAGACACCTCATGATGGCATGGGCTGGTGTGCTTCTTCCCATACCACCAGAAATATTTTAAAAGCCAGAGAAGAAATTTCTGTCATGGAACAAATGAGAAATATTTTAGCCTGGGACAAATTCAAGTTGGGTCAAGAGGGAGGTGCACTAAGTATCACACCATAGTTGGATCGCTTGCTCCACCATCAAGTTTACATCATCTCTGACAGTAAAGCTGTTTGAGACCCTCCCTCGCCTGTGGCCTGTGGGGGTCTACCAGAGGCTTCCTCCAGTTGGGTTCTCTGCAGGTGGATGGTGGCCTCCCACCATCCACCATAGTCGTCTTTAAATTGGATGTTCACAATTTTTTGTTTTAACTTATTGGGGGGTTCTTAGAAATCTCATAACAATCCATCATCCAATAGTATTGAGCACACTTGTACAGAGGTTGCCATCAACATTTCCAAAACATTTCTTTCTACTGGAGCCCGTGGCTTCAGCTCCTCCTCTTTTTCGGTGTTCGCAGTTTAAGGAAAGCGGCATCTTCCTCCTTCATGCCTTGGAACTGCGCATGGGGTTTGCAGCCCAATGGCGCCCACGACGCCACTCAGACTCCCTTAGTCTCGTCTAAGGCTCGTAAATGCTGGGCACCGTTTTTCAGGGTATATAAAAAGGGTAGGCTGCAAGGAGCTCAAAATTCACTTGTGTAGGCTATTTTTAAAACATTCGGCTGGATCCAAATTTGGTTTTTGGTGCTAGCAGCCTTTTTGGGTCCAACAGGCTTGCTACAAGGGAGTCAACAAGCTGGTGCCAAGTCAAGGCCACGTTGGGCTGATGGGAGCCTCTGCTGCCCCTGCGAGGGTTGGAAACCTCACCGCAGCCGATTGGGAGCTTTGCACAGAGCTGCCAGTGGGCCCTTTCTTTGCCTTGTCCACCGTGGGGATGAGCAGGGGCGACAGCCCAGCACACATGTAAAAAAATCTTTAGTGACCCGGCATGGAATAAATGGGTCTTCCTAATTTTCTTGTTTCATGTTTCTTAATCTATCAAATCCCTTTAGAAGTCACTGCTTAAGGGAAAGTGGTTACTTGGGTCTAAGGAAAATTTAAAAACCACTGCCTCTGTCTTAAAGGTTTTAAACATTAAAGTGTTCTATAATTCCTCCACCATCTTCCTGGGGGTGGGGGTGGGCAGGGGCATTGCATGCACTTGGACGGTGGAGGGAGCGCCCGGTGACTTCTTTCTGCTGAAAGGAGATTGGAGCCCGAGCTGAGCTACGTGTGGAGTGATGGTTCTGGAACTTGAAGACCCTGGAGAAGATGGGAACTCGTCACTGGGGGAAGGGTCCCGGTCCTTTTGGGATAAAGCTGCGCGTCTGCTCTGAGCCTGGTCTATGACTTGGGCCATCAGAGCCAAGGTGGTGATGGAGAGTCGCACAAAGCAGCCAGCAGGCTGAAAAGATGGCCAGGGGCCCCTGTCTGGCCTCCCCCAGCTACACAAGGGGAAGGGGACCCAACTACGGCTGCCCCAGATGACGCCTGTGAGGCAGTGGTCAGACCTGGCTCAGGCCTCCACCCTCCTCTGTCCTCTCTGATACCACCTGCCCCTCCCAGGGCTCTCCTCTGCTGGGCTGATCATTTACGGTAATGGCACACAGCGCACACGTGATACTCGGATCATGGGGTTTATTAGGGAAGGTGACAGAGTGTCAAGGATACCTTTCCTTAGTCCACAGTACCTCTTAGCCAAATGGAGGGGCATGTCTCTCTTTGGCCCTCGGCGTCTCAGCCACGTGGTCCTTTGGCCTCTGCCCTGCTCAGGCAGGTGTTAGGAAACTCCTCAAGCAGCGATCATCGCCCAAAGGAGACCCATTCTGCAAGCCAGCCTCCTGCCCAAAGATCTTAGTCCACGGGCCAGGAAGCCTGCTCACTCTGCCGTGCAGTCTGGGCCCAGCTCCTGTGCTCTGTCTCATGGTCTCAGTGCTGCTACCTCCATCGCTTCAGCTGGTGGCTCTTCTTGGATGGCTGTGGGATTCCTCTTTCTGCTTCTGAACCGGCCCTCATTACCCAGAGGAATGGTGAAACTGGCCAATCCCTTCCTTAGAGTCTTCTACACCCTAATGCCATGCCCCCACCCAGTCATTTGGTGGGAGTTACAAAGACTAGATCGAAAAGCCAGACCAAGTCATTTCACTTCACCCCAAGGTTTACCCCAGGGTGAGGTTTTGCATGTGGGAAGATGCCAGAAGGATGAAGGAGCTGAATATTAACTTTTTTTCCCCTCGCTTGGTTAATTAGCCATGTCTTTTATTTTAGCACTTCCTGGAGGATGTGTAGCATACATTTTTAACTTCCCACAGTCTATATCCAAGTGTTACACCACACTTCACATGAGTGTTAGGACCCTACCACAGTCTACACCCTTTCTCCTCCCATCGACACACGATGCAGGGTCATGTAGGGCCGGCGAAAGAGGAAGAGCCTCGCGAGCGGAATTGGCAGCAGGGCTCACATGGAGCCCCGGTGAGGGCAGCCCAGGCGGGCAGCGTTTCCTTCCTGCTGTACATGGAATTGCTGAGTCAAAACTGACGCAGGGCACCTGGCCACACCAGCCTGGTGCTGCGGTCACTTCCTGCGTGCGTGCTGTCCAGTCGGGGATTCTCATGTACCATGATCTTTTTCTTTTTTTTTCTATCTGCTTTTTCTTTTTTTTAAAAACATTTTATTAGGGGCCCATACAACTGTTATCGCAATCCATACACACATCAATTGTGTAAAGCGCATGTGTACATCATTCTCAAATACCATGATCTTAAGCTCACCTGACAAAAGCATGTTTACCCATGTCATGATCATGTCTGGTACGCGCCCTTCCTTTGTGCCAAGCCACATTTCCATTTCATATCACTTTCCTTCTGCCTCGAAAGCCTCCCTTTACTCTTTCTTGGGTCTGCTCATGGGTCTGCTTGTGCGTTTCTGGGAAAACCTTTCCTGCACCTTTGGTGTGGGAAGAGTTTTACTACCAGGGAGAGAGTGCTAGGGTTTTCTCCCTGCACTTGAAGGATGGGTTTCTCTTCTCACTTGAATTCTCTAACCAAGAATCTGGCACCTTTATTTCTGTCTTCTGTATATAATGTCTTTTTTTTAATGTCCTCCCCCCGTTTTTAGGTTTTTTTTTCCTTTATTTTTTTAGTGTCCTTTTAAGTTATTTTATTATATCGCTGATTGTGGTAGTTACATAATCTGTTGTCAATTTGAGATGAAAATGAAGGAGTGTTTAGCCTGTCAATCAGGTAGCAGCTTGACCTCATTTAGAGGCACTAAGGAGAGAAGTTGCTCGTTGGAGGCAGGGCACACGCTTATTCCTTGCGAGACATTCCTGTTGACAAGACACATGGAGCTACACTAGAGTCCTGGAGCTGAAGGAGTCACGTGGAGACCCCTGCCAGCGCTGAGATGGTTCCACCACCAGTGGATCCACAAGACTTTCCGGCCACTGGCCCCATGATCTTCCTGCATTTGACGTCATTGCATGTGTTCCATCATTGCATGTGTTGCGTGAGTCTGAAGAGGAATTTATAGATT